CTAAACCCTAAAAAAAAAAAAAAACGGGGCTTGCACGGTGGTGTTGGTCCCTTTGAAGAGGATATAGCGGTTTTATAGGATTTTGTAGGGGTTATACGAGGTGATACATGGGGTCATATAGTGTTATATAAGGTTACATAGGGTTATATAGGCTTAGATAGGGTCATATAAGGTTATGTTGGGGATTAGGGTTTAGGGTTGTGGAATTAGCCAAACTCTAAACCTTATTGGCACCCAGCATCCTAAGCCTCATGATTCTCGATATCTGAGACGAGTAAAATGCCCGCTCCCTCCTAATTTTTAGCGTCGGAATGAAGAATGAAATGGCACCCTAACGGTCCAAGGACCCAAGTACTTTGTTTTCAGGGCCCAAATACTATCTTTTCAAGGGTATTTGGGCCCTAAAACCCTATTATTTGGGTCCTTGGACCCTGAGGGGCAAAGAACATGGAACATGACACGGAAACTAGTCTGCATTCTTTCCAGGCGGAAAAGCCCCACACGGCGGCCTCAGCTCCTCACGCCAGGAAATACTCGGTTGCTGTTAAGGAACTTGATATAGGTTACCAGAATATATATATATATGTATATGTATATATATATATATTAAAGAATCGGATCTCCTCATTCTATAGTAAAGTAACTAAATTAAGTTCCGTAGCAGCAAGCCAGAATACAGCTCTGTGTGCACGAGCGCGGCTGGTTCATGTCGTCATGACTCACAGCTCCACACCCCAAACCTTGCATACACAATCCCAAACACAATGAACACCCCTGCACTTCGGTCTCTGACCAGCATACCTTAATTTGATTGCAAGACCAGACTGCTAGTCTCTACCGTGCGTAACATCGGAATTCCTCACAGAATCGTGCACCCCACCGGTGATATTGGTCTTGTATACATGGGATTAACAGCGTGTACGTTAATAGCTATCTGCTTCAGGGTCAGAAAAACTCCCATACGTGACTCCGCCTCCTCAACTTGATTTGCAGTATCTCGCGCCGTGGACTTTCTTCTGGGGTCCCAAACCACTGTCTAACCGCCTAAACCTTGGGGCATCTAACTTCCGGAGGTACACCCCTGAGCCCCAATCCTCAAACCCTAAGGTCCAAGTACCTAATAATCATATACCTACCCAAAACCTGTACCATAATTGCTATTACCCAAATCCCAAGTACCAAATTATTGGGTACATGGACCCTGAACCCTAAACCGTAAATACCCTAAACCCTATATATCCCTATATACCCCTATAAATCCCCTTTAAAGGGGACCCAATTATTAGGTACATGGACCCTTAGGGCAAATTCCTTCCTTGCCTTCTTCTGCCTCGTCTTCCTCCTTGGGATGCTCACCCTCCTCTCCTTCGTCTTCCTTCTTATCCTGGCAAGTGAGTCGTGGTTTTTTTGGTGGTTAAACCCAGTAAGATTATATTCTTTATATAAACTACTATACCCCAAAAGGAGGATAGAATCTTACTCTATATTGGGTACCATATCCCCAAATAAGATACTACTCAAATGGCAAGGCTGTCCACAGGGATTACACGCCAGGCTACCCCGTGTGCAAGCAGCGATGTAAGGGCTCTGAGGATCACTCTACACCGTGCCACGCGGCCACCACTTGATTTCAAGCTCCAAGACCCAGGGCATCTGCATCTGAGGTCCCATGCTAAGAGCGATAGTACTAACAATACTAAGAACAAACGTAATAGTAATAGTAACAATATTTCGAATAACAGTCATAGTAGTGAAAATAAGACCTGGACCCCCAAAGTATGTAGAATTATAGCCTTTTTGGCTGCTTTTGGTGATTTAGGGCTATTATTTTACATACTTTTGGGGTTCAGGTAGTAACAAGAATAATCTTAATAGGAAGGTCCAGGTCCAAGGCTTTAGCTTAATTACGGGCTTCGAGTTGCACAAGAAGACAAACGTCGGTAAGCTCACGCCCGAGCGATGTAGGGGCCTCAAAAAAAAGCCAAGATCATTTTGTGTACTTGAGGTTTCCTATACTTACTAGAGTCAGAGAAGGTATCTGGGACCACAATATTGGCAACAGCTTAGGCTGCTCCGTAAGCCAGTCCTTGGAAAGGTCCTGGGCCATGATCAATGATTCATGGTTCTAAGCCGATGTGATGTGATAGAGGACTTTCTCAGGACACTAGGGATGCGTGAGGAATGTGAAAAGGGATGATGGAGGCCCCGACTCAAGATGGTATACACACCAGTTTTGAAACTTTCGCATCGCATCTTACCGCATGTTCAAGTCTTCACTGACAGCCACTGCACATCCTCGCGCCACTTACGACTGGTCCGCTGCTCAGGTCGCGTCGAGTTCGGGGGCTGCAGGCGCAGGAGTCGACAGCAATCAGGTACAGCGCCTACATCGCAACCCTGCAGTCTGATGATGGGACACTTGAACCACTACAGCAAAGAGCCTTGGAGGAGCCAACTTAGGTCCTGCATGTCCTGGTCCACGCCATATCCGTGACGACAAGCTCAAACCACTCCCGACTGCCAGTAACGTCAAGAAGTGGCTGTCCATTACCGGCAGGATGACCAAGCTCATATTGCCACCCCACCGAGCGAGTACTGCCTTCAAAGGCGGGACTATGTTGCCCGAAGACATCTCCAAAAGATGAGGCGGCCGGAAACAACATAGCCACCTCGACTGCAACCGCTTGAGAGACAAGTGTTTGTCAGTCAATGCGACATGGCCTGCCGCTACAGCTTGCCCTAGCTCAAGACGACCAAGCTAGGAATAGTGACGCTTCGAACTGAGTCATAAAACAGGTTTCTGCGGTGCAGTAAACCCAAGTCTCGACAGTATGATTTGAGACAGTCTGGCAGAACAAATCACTGTTAAGTTAATGGCACACATTGGAGGTTCCATAAAGTAGTGGAATTTTTCGGGGGTCCCCATGGTCTTGCATAGTATGTTGGGGTCTATATTGGGGTCCGGCTATTTCTGGAAATGCCAAATCGACTTGATGTGTGACATGTGGACCTCGTCTCCTGGCTGAATAAATCCCAAAGACACGCGCCGCTCTACAGCCAAATACCAGGTTGGCAAAAGGTCCATGTAGCTGTAGTATGTACTTACAAGACCCAAAAGGGGTTCCGATGGAACTGTTTTAGGGTTTACTACGTAGCTACTTGGACCCTCAGGGTCATGGATGGTCATGGCCGCTGTCGGCTCAGTTTATACGCTACAAAGCGTCAGGCTGGCACAATACACCAACTACCCCACAATCTGCTTCCAAGCCGCCAGAAGCTTGCGCACTGCAAGTCTTCCGTCCCTGAGAAGTTCTGGTCACTTGTCTGCCAGAGTCTGGGGAGGTAACCCCCTGCACCTGCGCAGACCCAGGCCACCACTGCAGGAGTGTTAGGGATGCCCAGGAACCCAGCAAAGGCCGAAGGCCATCCCAAGCTTTCAGAAAGTATCCGCGGGCTGCGGTTAGCCCAAGCCAGCTCAGTGCTGCTACGCGTGCGGGCCAGCCGCTGCCTCCTCCCAGCAGCTTGCCATAGAGCTTGTTCGCCAATTGCTCGTCCCGTTGAGTGCCGATGCCAAACTGAAGAAGGTAGGCCTGGTCGAAGGTTGCGCGGCCGTCTCCCCGCTCAGCAGCTAAAGCCGTCCACCGGTAAGCCGCAGCCTGCAGATGCTGCAAATGCTGCAAATGCTGTCGCGAGCTGGGCTCGTTGGCCCGGTCAGCCTCTTTCAGCAATCGCATCGACACCTCTGTCATGGATGGCACATGCCCTGCAGCGGCCGCTCGAATGTAGTAGGCTAGTGCGACTGGGGAGGTGCCCTGGCTTGGGGCCGTCCACCGATCCCAGAAGGATGCCTGTCTGCGGGCATCCTGGTCCCAAAGCCAAGCGGAGTTCAAATGAGCCATCAGGAATCCAGCATCACTCAGCAGGGCGAACCGCAGACGAGCTCCCAGCGTGTCTCCTAGCACGAAAGCCCTGCGCGCATGGGCAAACAGCAGGTGTGCACTTGGATGAGCTGCATGGATGACCTCAGCAAGCTCACGATATGCTACAGCACACTGAGCATTTCGCTCGGGGATTGCGGGATCTGCTCCCTGCGCAATAAGCAGACCTGCATTGAGCTTGGGGACGAGGCGTCCATTTGCAGCTGCGACCTTGTAGTAGACCAAGGCTAAGGCCTTGTCTGGACCACCTGGTGGGTATATTCCATCCATGTTGCCATGCGTGTAACCCATGTAGGAGTGTGCCAGGATGAGCTGGGCATTGGAATTGCCAAAGTCAGCAGCCGCCTTGAGGAACTGCCCAGCTTGGGCAGGATCTTTGCTCTGCCCAATTCCCAAACGAAATTTGAAGTGGAGTGCCATGAAAGCCAAAGGTGCGGCAGAGGAGTTGCCCACCATATCGATGTAAGGCGCAGCCTCTTCAACCTTGTCATCGCGTAGGTAGCTCAGGGCAGCGTGCCAGGCAGACCAGACGTCACCTTCACGGGCCGCTCGTGTCCAGTAGCTTTCTGCCAGGGTCTTGTTCTGAACCAGTTTTGCCTCCGTGTGCCCCTGGAAGTGCAAAGCCGCAAGTTCCCGCATGCTTTGAGGCTCTTGCATGACCTCGGCTCCGTGCTTCACGGCATCCACGTACTCCTTTGTCTGCTGCCAATCTTCATCGCTGGGCAGCCTCCGTTCACGATGACGCCAGGCCCTCCAGGTTAAGGCAGCCTTATCAAGTAGAGGCTCCTCGTTAGTGGAAGCCTCTTTTGCAGGATTTACCAGGGTACTCAGTGCGCGGCATGCGCGCTCGGAGGCTGTATCTAGCTTGCCCCCCAGGAGATCCGGGACGCGGCGCAGCAATGAGTAGTGATGCGAACCGTCTGGCTTCGTCCAGGAGATAGGAACTTCTGTCAGTCCACGGCGCACAAGCGAGGCAAACACGATGCTCCCCAGAGGCTCCTTACGCTCCGCAGCCTCCCAGAAAGCAGCACCGATATGATCGAAGACCTCCTTCTGGGCCCTTGCATGTGTCTTGGCCCCAGTCCTGGTCTCAGAGAGGAGGACCTCTGGGTTCACCACCACAACTTGCGGCCCATCCACCACCTTCAGCTCAAGCTGGGCCACCTGGGCAGCGGCTACTCAAAGTTTAAAGAAGTACTGTACTGCAAACCTATAAACAGGCAGCACTTCAAGGACATCCAGGCCATCAGATATAGAACTCCTTAACTACTTGCCGATGCCTAATCGCCTTGATGGAAGTTGGCCATTTCCCAGCTCTCAAAGAAACACTCGCAGTCGAACTTTGTTGTGTGGCTATCCAACTATGACCCACCAAGAAAAATCAACCCATGCCTCGGGGCTCCCGACAGAAAGCAGCAGGCCAAGCATCGTGAAACTCCAGGGGTCCTGTCTTCATTTGTGTTATGGGGCAGAAGGGTACTCTTGATCAGGCAAAAGCCCGGACCCTGAACCCTTTTTCCTACCTAAACCCCAAGAGTTTGCAAAATAATGGCCCTAAACCCATACTAGCCACTATAAAGGCCACTATTTTACAGATTTTGGGGTCCAGGTATAGCTTCTGTCCCAGCCAGAAGCCACACTTTAGCCCAAATCCCCTCAGGCTCTCTAAGCCCATGTTCCAAATGTCAATGTTGCAACCTGGACTCCTAGGGATAATGGAAAAATGGAAACTACTAGATTATTGGGATTATGTCGACGGCCTAACCCCTACAATGGAGAATCAAATGGACAAGAACATGGAAAATGAAATGGACTCCCTAGGTCCCTTTGAAGGGGTATATAGGGATAAAGCGGGGGCATGTTACCCCGAGAATGGAGACTGAAATGGAAAAGAACATGGAACATGAAATGGACACCGGGGGAATACAATATAGGGATCTAAGGAACTTAACTGCCTGACTGCTCCAACTGTACTTGAACGTGAAAGCTCGACAGTGATTTTTAGATAAATAACCCAACTACATTTGGACCGATGGTTTTCCTACTTCTATGCAGAACTATCCAATTACCCTTGCCCCGCCCCAAGCTTGATGAGACCACCCAAGCCCGCAACTTCAAAACTTACCTTCAACAACCCCAAGCTAAGGGCGCTGAATTTCCTAAGCCCCGAACCCTCAGCCCTAGCTGCCCCAGCTTTACTCTACAAAATGAAGCCTCACGAGGTCCTCTGTGCCCCTCGGCGTAGTCACAGCCTTTGCGAGGTACCTGCGCGCTGCTGCAGCGTCCCGTGGGAAGCCTGCCAAGAAGGGCTACACTTGGGAGCCTTTTGGATGGTAATGGTGATGGTTGTTGCGGCGGCGGTGGTGGATGTGGTGGGGGGAGTTATGGGTTTCGAGGTGTTTTAAACGGCCCGAGAAGATTTCATCTGGAAAGGAAGATTACCTAGGGTGCAGTGACATTGCTCAGGGTTTCGGAGGTTCGCGCTCGGCGTAGTGATGCAGGGTTTTGACAGGGGCCTGCTGTGTAGCGCGCTAATAGTGCCTGACTGGATTGCTGTTAAGGAACGCACGTTTTAGGAAATGTTTCCTACTATTTCTACATATTCATGGTAACTTAATTTAAGCTCCTCAACAGCAACCCAGTAATGCTTGGAGGTTCACTACAGGGCCAGCAAACTTTGGGTGCAGAGCTTCAGTATCAAGACCTCCACGTTCCGGGCTGCGATGGTTGGATGGAAGTATTCCAGACTCGGGGTCTTGGAGCACGAAATGGTCAGAAGGTTTAAGATGGCGGGGGTGAGAGGTTGTGATTGTGTCCAGGAGGAACATAAGCAGTTTGTTTTGTTGGGTTGCTGCTAATAAGGAACTTAAGTTAAGTTACCATAACGAGTATATATAGAGACTAATACGGTTTCCTCAATATAGTAACTTAAATTTCCTTAGCAGCGGCCCAGTCTGAAGGGTCTGGTGTCTCATCTGCCCGGGCTGCGAGTCTCTGAGCAGACCGACATCTTAGCAAAGACCAGCAGTCTCCCCGCTACCCCGCACCAAAGAAACCAGTGGGCATTTCCCAAAATAAGGGGTACCGTTTCGGGGGATTACCTATAATGACGATCATACCTTTTTGGGGTCTATAATATTAGGGTCCCCCATATTTCGAGAAACCACCAAGTGTATTTTGACTTTTAGCAACTGTCATAGCCATGACGCTCCCCCAATCTTAACGAGTTGGTTTGAGGCTGCTTACTAAAAGCAATCCTTGCAGAAACCATCCTTTAGCAATCTCCAAACCTGTAAGGTTTGACATCTTATGCGCCCTTGGGCCTTTTAGGGGAATTCCAAAGACCCGTAAGGTTATATATAGGGTATGCAATATGTATCTAAGGGGGTTAAGGGCCATACTACGGGCCCATGGTTTCAATCTTACACAGACAATATCCCATGTCTCAATGCCTCAAATGCTTGCGTCCGAGGCCCATTCGCTTCTGTTGGCAGTTTGTAGGATGACTGACGTCTACTTTTGCCCCCCAAAACTACCAGTTGCTCTATCGCATTGGCCAATGATTTTGGAGAACAACCCTGCCAACTCTGCAAAACAGGCCTGCATTCTGATGACTAGTGCTCCATCGTAAGCAACACACTTCAACAGTACATACGTTGGCCCGAAGGTAGGGGCTTATATGGGAACCCCGTCCGGGCCCTTCGGAACCAGTCTACTACAAAGTAACCACATCCAATTCTGAAGGCCCCTAAAAATCCCTGCTACACGCTCAGAAGGTCTTGCACTAGAAACCCACCTTGCTCTAGCCTTAAATCAGGAGGGTTATTATAGGTTTAGGGTTTTGGGGTTATTATAGCTTTAGGGTTTAGGGGTATTATAGGTTTAGGGCTTAGGGGTTATTATAGGTTTAGGGTTTAGGGGTGATATTGGGGACATATTGGGATAGTGGAAAAGAAAATGGAAACTACTATATAGAAAACTCGCTAAACCCTCCACTGCAGCTTGTTGACCTCCTGGCAGCCGAAACTCACCCTGGGCATCCGCCACGCCGAAATAGTGGAGCATGGCCAGCGTGCCAAGGACTCCGTTAGCCTCCAGGTCCTGGAGTTTAAGGTGTTTTTTTAGGGTTTAGGGTTTTGGGGTGCTGGAGTTTAGAGTGTTTCCCTAGGGTTTTTCAAGGCCTCCCAAGTACTTAGAGAGGGCGTACTTAGCCAATGCATACTACTTCCCCATATACAACCCATATATATTCTACTTCCATTGAGAAAACCATGGGCTTTGGGAGTTTTCGTAGGGTATCATAGGCTGGCTGGGTTGATGTTAAGGAACTGAATTGAAGTTACTATGTGGGGAAGCCATGTTAATTACTACACGTACCCATCATGGTGACTTAATTTACGTTCCTCAACAGCAACCCAATCATAGGTGGCTGGCAAGCTTTGGGGCTCCTCTGCTGGGTTCGGGCCGGCGGCTGTGGGATTGGAACCGAGAGAAGAAGCTCTTGACAGGGCTACGTGAACCCATATATCTTTATAGGAAGATATGAGGACTTTGAGATAATCCTGAAAATTCCTTATAGTCACTATTACTGGGTGGGGAGTCCACCTAGCTTATACCCTACCCATTTTTCGGGCATGGTAGACAAATTTCAACAGTGGTTGATCAGGCAAATGGCGGTTCAAAAGGCAAGGGCGCCGTCATGGACACATCCCCAGACCTTTCGCAAAACCTCTTACTGCAACAAAATAAATCATGCCCAACAGCGTGTCCAACCCTCAACGCCAAGCCGTTAAACAGCCGAAAGTCCTTCTTCAGCGCAGCGAAGCCAAGTCCTGAGTGTCCCGAGCCAACTTGTCTTTCCCTCCCATGGTTCCCCAAAAAGCTTTTTTTTTGGCTATTAAATCTTAATTCAAGGCTAGCCTTAGGGGGGAAGGATTAGGAGAAACCATGGGCGTTTGCTATTCCAGGGACTCCAGCTCCCCATTGTCAAGTTATAGTCCACCTTGCGTAGATAGAATATGGCTTCGGGTAATAAGATCCCCATATACCCCATATTCTATCTACTTACTGGGGACTATAACAGGTAGGTTATGTAGCTGCGCAGAATAGATTGTCAAGAGGGGTCTCCGTCTTTCGTTGCTAGCCTACTCTAGCTTTCTGGATATACGTACTTCTACAGACTACATAGGAGCAAGGACCCGACCTAGCAGAAGATGCAAACAGCCCACAGCTATGGACTGGCCATCTCCTAGCCATGCACCCCGCCCTCTCCCTGAAGGCTTGTATGATGAGGGTTTAGGGTTTAGAGTGAAGTCGCTGAAGACATTGATATATGATCAGACCAGTACATTCCACATATTTGTTCGATAGGTTGTTGCACAGACAGATTGGGGGGATAGATAGGAATGATGCTGCTACCCCTAAACCCTAAACCCTAAACCCAAAACCTACTACAACTAATTAAAGGCTGAGCAGGCAAGAGGAGACCCTGAGGACTTTGTGGACACTCTGATATGTTCTGAGGCTAATTACGCAATGAAAAACCTCCAATCCCGATCCATGCAAGCCTCGTCCGCAGCAAAATCCTCAAACAACCAGCCATGCAGCAAGCTGCAAACATGTGGGAAGAACTTGGAAAGAGTCCTGCTTTCGCCACTCCTGGACCCCACAGCCGTGACTCCAACCAGTCTTAATTGAAGTGCCCCTCGAACTTGAAACCCTCCTGCCCTCTCAATAGTATGGAAGTTTCTGCGAAGGAAATCCCAGCCAATCCTTGATGATTGATGATGACTCCTGCATATTCACAGTGCCGACGCTAGAGACAGTAGCTCCTAAAAAACGTGGTTGAACCGTAGAGAATTTGGATGCAGCAATTCCCAACTGAACGTAAAGTAGTGTGCTTGCACCACGCGCCTCAACAGGCACCACGATATCAATAATGCCGGGTCTACTGAAACATGGAAAAGAAACAGGGATTGCATAAATGAGCCATTGTCTAAACTCCTAGTATCCCCCTTAATAACCCCTATAGTAGCCCCTTATATAATCCCCTATATAACCCCCTTTAAGGAGTTTAGACTGTAGCTCAAATGAATATTGGCAGCTTGGCTCCATGACAAAATATCCAGGAAAGCTCATCTCCCCTGAACCCAAGAAGCCTACGTAAACTGTACAAACCCTCATTTAGCGGTTTTTGCTCCGGCCTTCTTCAGCTTCTCCTCTCCCGGGGCGAACGAGATCCCGCAGCAGTCGCTCCACCTCGTCCCATTTCAGAGTTCAGGGTTTAGTGCTACGACTTGGGGATTACGTTAGGTTATGAAGGATTAGGTCGGGCTTCTGCGAGGATTATGCGGACCGGAGGAGATTCACCTCAGACAGGGCTGGGTAAACGGTGATCAAGGAATTCTGGGCCTTTATTAGACTTACAG